AAACTTAAAACTATATAAAACCAGATTACCTGTATTTAATATCAAGGATTCTTCTGTTATGCGAAATTATACTAACACGCAACAAAACGTTTTCTGTAATACTTGACATTCATCGATTTGATACTTTCAGCGAGAAAACATATTCTGGACATGGCTCATTTCGAGTGTGAAAAAAATTTTCTAAACATAAAAAATATAGCTATTAGGTTATTTTTTATGTCAGTAAATAAAAGGATCAAAATAGAGCGTTATATTTTCATAAACTTTTATTGGCAATACTATTTTGAAAACAAGAGCATAATTGTAACAGGTAAGAACTATACAATTAAATTTAACATCACCATTCAGTGGCTAAATAGTAACGTCGTTGAACAGAGGTAATTTGATCCGAGTGTTACTTGAATGTAATCCAATTTCCCTTAATAAGTCTTCTACGAAGGAAATCGTTTCCTCAGATACACCTTGCGTGCTTTTGTCGTAATTCAAATAACGTAACCTAATTGAATAGTGGCCAACAGGCGAACCTGTCATACATATATCTTTCTTTAGAAAACTGTTTGCCATTTATTGTTTTATAAGGAAAAAGTCTAACTGCAACATACATATTTTATTTCTCTTATCAATAAATCAGAAATTTCAATATAACATTCAAGCTACTGAAAATTTTTGTAATATACAAAATAATATGATGCGATATTATTAATTACTATAATTAGTTTTAAACAATATTGCATTAAAAGAATATTCTCTTTTGAAAGGCCAGCAAAAGTAATTTTCATAACCTTTTCCCCAAAAAAGAATAAAATTCTGAATGTTTTACACACTCATTACTTGTTTAATATTTGATATTGAATATTAGATTGAAACGGGGAAAACTGCATTAGTTCTAATCTTCAGATTCGGAATTGACTAAATATCAACATGTCCACTATAAAAAAACATGACCAAAGTATTTTGATGAATAATAATTTTGATGATTTCATTGGCATTAATTAACAATTACTTCATAGCTACTAGTTCGAGACGTGATGAAAAATAGTTGTTCCAGTTGAACATTACAAGTAAGAGATATATTTCATTATGCATTCTGGATTTCTTTACACGAGTGGAGAAAATTTCAGTTTTACTCCACAGTTAATTGAACTCTGCAAAGATGAGACATGTCATATATTTTAAAAGTGATATCTAATCAGATCTTCTGACATGTCATGAAATTGATTTGTTAATCATTATATGTATCCTTACCTATTCTTGCAAAATTGCCGTTGTTTTTTATAAAACGTTGCTTATAATGATAATCAAAGAACTCGAATTAATAGAATCAAAACTACCTCTTTGTCCGATTCTTATGCAATATACTTTAAATATAAAATTCTAAAAGAGCTATAACTGTAGCTTAACTGTTTTTTTTTTTTTTCATTTTATTTCTCAAGCTTTCTTACATTCTCAGGTCAAGTGATATTTGCAAATATATGCTTCAGCTGTGAACTATCCATATGAAAAAAAAGAGTGCCAGTTTCAATCGGGGTTAAATAATTAATACATGATAATTTTAGTTTTAAATTCTCCCAGATGGTTAAATGCTATTATATTTTCCCTCTTTATGGAAGAGGACATATAACTGCAATAGCGGTCGATGTAGAGAAGTTGCGCACTCAGACGCAAATGCAAAGAATTTGGGTCTTGAGAAAATTAATCTAGAATATCCTAATCTGAGAACGAGTGTTCCGATATTAGAGTTATAGAGCCCTTAAAAACTATTAGAAGAAAAGAAAGATAAAAAATAGCTATGCTGGGTTTCGAACTCTGGATCATCCGATTGTCAGCTGAACGTGCTACCATTTACATCACGAGATTACTCAGTGAGAGAGGTAGTGACGAAATATCAGCCACTACATTTTACATCGAGCACCTATGTAGAGCTATTAATAATTTTTGGAACCCATGAAACATAAAAATCAGCTTCATTCTCCCTGGGAGTTCAAACCCGAGATTTTTCAATTGCTTGCCAGACGTATTGCCTCTTACAACAGGTGACTGCGCAATGGAGAAGGCAGAAATTCCTCATAAAGTTATTGATAATTCTTCATTTGTCCTGAACCTTTCGTGCTCTTTGGAGATCCTAGTATTATATCAGTGAATTTCATGAAAGATGTATGGGTACAGAAATAAATAAAGCAAATTATTATAATGAGTATACTATACTATAAATCTTTATTTTATATATTGCAAATAATCCAGTTTTCATAAAATAAATTAAGCATTCTGTTAATTGTTCACGTAAATAAAATGGTATGTATTTACAAAACCCATGAAGCTTCCTTAGTAAAATTATATTAATTCTAGCTTGGCATATAGATTAGCTTTCAGATTACTTATGTCATTATCTACAGTCTCAAATGATTTTATTTAAATTTAAATTAATAAATTGAAAATAGTACTCACACTGGCAAAATTAAATGGGCAATAAATATGATACTCTACAGCCTTTACTGAAAATGGAATAAATAAATGCAATAAATGGAAAAAAAGCAATAAAGGGAAGCTTATTTTCTTTCTTTTGCTAAATTCCCCCTTCACTGCTTTCCTCACTCACAAAGGAACTTACTTTTGATTCTTTCTTTTCTTTTACTTTTTTAGTAGTTTTGGTAGTTTTAAATCCCGCGGGCTCACTGTATGGGGTTTCGTAGCATTAATTGGATGTAAAAGGGATATGAGATAATTTCGTTTAGAAAAAAACTTCCTGATAGCAGCCTTCCTCTTACTTAGAGAACTTGCTATGTTGTACTGTACTCTAGCCCAAATCAATAACCAAAATCTTCTCGAAGATTTTTCATGACTGGTCTTCAAAAGAAATAGATTTGTTACATTAGAAATGGTAAAATTCATATGGAAATTATCAGTGTCTTAGAATATGAAAACAATGTACATACAGAATACCAAACGTATCTGTAAAATTTATTAAATATGTTGTCGTCTCGACATTATGGGCATCAGTTCAGCTGTGCAATTATTTGAATTTGCGTATATCCAAATGTTTAGATTTGCTTGCTTGACATGATATTTTAATTTTTCAAAAATAATAAAAAGGATTTGTTGTTTGTAAATTAATATGTTTAGATAGGCTTAGAAACTATTTAACTATATTTGGGCGTTTCATTAAAACTGATAGCAAATTAAATTTTAAAACAGTGTACTCAAGCTTAAAATTTGAGAGATAGCCATTTATGTGTAGCTATGGAAACTCGATATTGAACGTAAAGTTTTTACAAAGATTGCTATAAATTTTTCAGTCTGGAATAAATACAAATTTTACTGTAAACTTTAATTTTCACATTTTTGTTAAATTTGATACTCATTTCTCTGAGTGATTATATTATGAGTTAGAACTTAAAAATAGTCCATTCAGATTAGAAATACATCTCATAGGTTTACTTGAAAGTACTTTGGAGTAAATAGTTTTTGACCGTTTGTGTGTCAAACAGGATCCTCCTTTTTTCAGTTTTCCCCAGATGGCATTCTTAGGTCTTGAAACTTGGCGTACACTTTAGCTTTTAAAAATTCTTACTTATTTCCTCTTCTGTCCATTCTTATAATTTTAAAATTAATATATAAGAAATTAGTTATTATATCTTGCTAGTTACTTTTTGACAGCATTCGAAATTACCTATCTGTTCAACAAGGAGTAGGGTCTCTGACTCAGGCACCCTGATGCTACACCGTTTCTTCAGCGCGAGATGTGAAACCCGCCAATGCCCTTGTCGGGACTCCAAGTCTGGAATCTCAAATATGTGTCGAATATGCTTCCAAATTACTCCACGAAGGCATGCGGAAATGATAGAGAAAATACCTTATAGTAGTTTTTACGTTAACTTTTAAACACTTCACTAAACAAATATTTCTCAGTTAAAATTTCCGGTTATTCTTGAAGGGAGATTAAGTTTTATTAAGAACAATCTTTATGCTGATTTCTTATCATTACGCCTTGTTTTTTGACACTCGCTAAAGCAAATGCTTATGCAAATTTTATGACAAATTAAAGAGGTTAACGTTAGAAGGACGTAAGTACTGGTGTAATAGCGATAGAATTATGGCTGAGGGTGCCTAGAGAATTGCTCGTCAGATTAGATGTGATCGTGTGTGTCACAGTACGAACTGAAAGAAGTGTCTTTTTCTCTAGCATAGGCAAGCGGTATCTTCGTGTACATGTGTTAAAATGTAATCCAGGTAGTATATTCTAGAGTTCCAAAAAGTAGCTGCCAACAAGAAACTGAATAATTGCGTTTGTATTATTTTAACTGCTGTCAAGTTGTAAGGAATAAAGTTTAATCTAAACATTACATTTTTAGTTGCACCATGTGTTTCTAATAAATAGTATAAAAGACGTTAACTTACCAACCACTTACATAATTTCTAAAGATTAACAGCCGTACATGTAGTTTAATTAAGTAGCTAGATAAGTTTAGAGATTATAATGAAAGGAAGAAAATACAGCATAAATAGCAGATAATAACAATTTTAAATAACCTCAAAACTGCATGTTTCACAGCGTAGTTTTTAATTTCGTCCTAGGTAGACATTCATACAAACTCAATGTATAAACTTCAGTTTCATAAAAGTGAACAATTCAATATTCTTAAGCAACACATTTTCTGCGTATTCGAATTTCTCATGAAATATTCAATTAAATCTTCTCTAATAATTTTCATAGCTCGGAGTACAAGAAACTAATTTTATTTCTTTATTAGTCTAAATTCATACTTTTGAAAAGTAGTCTTCTCTATTTCTGATGCAATAATAATTGTATGTCCATCATTAAATATTATTTTCAGAACATACAATTAAATGTAATTTTGAAGCTTTAAATTGTCTTTAAATTATTTAACAAGATTTGAAATTACAAAATAATTAGGGAAAAATTATGTAGCTTAGAACTAGTAAATAAACAAAACACTAAAAACATTTTTTAAAAGATAAACAATACCAAATAATTACTTGTATTCATTTTATTGCTATTAAAGAATAAATTACGATTTTCATAAATGTGTACATATAACATTACAGAATATCATTATGAATACAAATTTCCTATTTAATTTAACAAACCACTTTTTAAAACTTAATTCGTTTAAAAATAGGTTTCTTGTATGCAGAAAGAGTTGCTTCTGTATATGGCGTGCTACTGTAAGTTTGATGTGATTTAACATCTGATACACTACTTCCAGTTGTTGATGATAATGCCTTAAATCCTTTGCTAAAGAAATTTCCTAACAAAGAATTAGGCGTACGAGTGTAGTAGTCCAAGAGCAGATTGAAAAGATTTACCTTAATGGGCCATAAATCTTTCTTGATCTCTCCTAAAGTATAACTACTCACGTGCGTTAAAGAGGAGGTTCTTAGAAGTGATCCATGTTTAGTTATGAAATCCAAGATGCTGCCACCAAGTGCTCCATCTCTGATGTCGTAAGCAACTCGTAAGCGCTGGAGGGTCTCCATAATGAGAGGTACGTTATCTGCAGCAGTCAAAAGAATCTTTTGAAGATGCCTTTCAGCAATTCTGCGTACGATTGGTTTCGTTTCTCTAACTAATTTGTTTCTAACAGCATCTAATGAAGCTTGTGGAATCTGAATAACGGTACCTTCTGGCGTGTTAAAATCTTGCAAAGTCAAAATCTCTGAAACAAGAGGGGAAACTGCAGCTTTTATCGACCAAAAGAGTGTTCGTAGATCAAAGACAGTTTCAGGATTTTCAGCCATATCGAATAAGATCGGAAGAATTACTTTACTTGTAAGAGTATTTTGGGTACCCATGAATGTTTCCTTAATACCTGCAAAAATGCTTCTCATTATGGGTTCTGCTAAGCTAGAAAGAAATTCAGGAATCTGTCTCTTCTCCCTAATTATTTCACTATCTTCTTCATCATCAACGCTGCGCTTAAATCGTTTGCTCTGGAATAATCTCTCTGACATATATTTGCTAAGTTTCAGTATCGGCTGAAGGTCGTTGGAAACATCACGTGCTACATCAGAAAATGATACAATATTGATGTGAGTAGAGTTAGAGAGTTCATAAGAGCGGTAAGCCTTCTCCATTAATCTGGTGCTTAATTTTTTAGCGTAGTTGAAAGTTTTCTTAAAATGGGGAACAAGCTTTTCTTTAACTATCGGTAAAACATCATCTTTTATGGCTCGGATTGTGGGCATGTAATACGATTGAAGCTTATCATAAACCGTTGGAGCAGCATCTTTGATGGCTTGTCTCATTAATGGCCGAACAGATTTTACCAAATTTAAGAAGGAATCGTTCACATCTTCAAGGGAAATGGTATGGACTTCTTCGTCAATGCTGCGTTTAGGTCGTCTGTTCTTAAACAATCTTTCTGACATGTATTTGCTAAGTTTCAGCACAGGTTGAATGTCGTTAGAAAGATCACGGACCACATCGGAAAATGATACAATGTTGATGTGTGTGGAATTTGACAATTCATAAGACCTGTAAGCTTTCTTCAAAAGTCTTGTGCTCAGTTTTCTAGCATAGTTGAAAGTCTTCTGAACATGAGGTAGGAGCTTTTCTCTAACTATTGGAAAAACATCGTCTCTTATGGCTTGAATTGCAGGCATGTAATATGACTGAATCTTATCATAAACCGTTGGAGCAGCATTCTGGATAGCTTCTTTCACTAACGGACAAACGGATTTTAACAAATGTAAAAAAGAATTCTTAGCGGCTTCAAGAGAAATGCTGTGGATTTCTTCATCAATGCTACGTTTAAATCGTCTGTTTTGGAACAATCTTTGTGACATGTATTTGCTAAGTTTCAATATAGGCTGAATATCATTAGAAACATCACGTGCTATATCAGAAAGTGAAACAATATTAATGTGAGTTGAATTCGATAATTCGTAAGACCGGAAAGCCTTCTCTATCATTCTAGAGCTCAACTTTCTAGCATATTTGAAAACCTTCTGAGCATGAGGCATAAGTTTTTCTCTAACGATTGGTAAAATGTCATTTGTTATGGCTTGGACTGTAGGCATATAATAGGATTGTAGCTTATCATAAACCGTTGGAGCAGCATCCTTAATGGCTTGAATCAATAATGGTCGAATGGAATTTCCCAAGTTTAGGAAAGAATTCTTTGTATCCTTAAGAGAAATGGTATGGACTAATTCGACAGATCGTTTAAATATGTGATGATATTCCGCTGTTTCATTGCAGGAAAAAGTAGTTTCGTCTTGGCAAAGAGACGTCTGATAGTTGAAGGCTTGTCCTTCAGGACATGTTAAAATTTGAATTTCAGAAGACTGGCACTGACGATAAACCTAAAAGGAATATAAATTCAGCAATTTAAGACAATATAAAATTTTTCAGAATATTTCATACTTTAAACAATAAGCTGTGCGTGTATTTTGTTTCAATTATAAAATGCTATTTAAGTCCTTTGCTCTTGGTTTTGATTTCAGGCTAATTTAATGACTGATAAACCATTCTTTTATAAAATGTAGTTCCTCATTGATATTGTTAGTAGCAGTGTATTAGATTAATCTAAATGTTAAATAAGCATTTGCACAGATTACGCTTTGTTATACGAAAACTTGTTTTAATAGTTTCCGTGTTTTTTCTAATATTCTACTGAAAAATAGTTCTCATAATTTGTAGTTAGTAATCTTAATGAAAGTGGCACTAATTTAATAAACAAATATTCACTCGAATTTTATTCTAATTTTAGATAAAGTAGCAGACATACTGGGGCACTAATACGTATTCCAGCATTTCGACAAAAATTACATCTGAAAATCTGTCAATTCCTATACATAAAATTGTTTTATATTGATAATTTTCTCAACTAGAAATTAAGGAAATTAATCTTGTTAAACTTTAAAAGAGTTCTTATTTAATTAATGTTGCTACAATGGACAGGATTGTTTTGTGAAATTTAATTTAATTTCACAAAACATTTACATAAAGTCAACATTTACATAAAGTCCAAAAACATTAATCTACGAATTTGAGAATCATACTCACAGAAACAAGATATGAATTTTTAAAACAAAATTTGCGAATACTTTTTTTTACATCAAAGATTGGTTTTTATGAGAAATTTTCGAAGAGACCAAATGTAGGCATTATTTACCAATTTTGTAGAATGGCAAAGATCAGTTGTATTTTAGACTTTAGCGATCAAAATTCACTTTCATTTTTATTTTCTCATTTTTCAATTTCGATATTCTAAATAACTGAACCAAAAATAGATATATTCTTTTAATACTTAAAATTAAAGGTAGAATAACTGGCTATGATTATATTTGTTTGTTGCACCATAATGTAAATTAAGTAGTCATTTAGTATTTAATTACTGCTAAATGCTCCCGTAAATATCTGATTGAAATTTTACATTACTTTTTATTTCACTAAATTTTAGGTAAGATTATGTTAGTTTATTTTAAAGGCAGCTCTCCAGATATAATTTACGGTGTGTGGTGTATTTAATTATGGCAAAGCACACTAGGGCTATCTGCCTAAGGGAAGGGATGCCTTCGTGGAGGACTTTCTAAGGGAAACTGTCTCGTATACACGTTACACATGGGGAAAACCACGAAAACACCCATGCAGGTAGCCTGTTCGCGGGATTCGAACCTCGGACCGAACTACCAGTGTTCAGCGACTTTACCGCTCGGCCGCTGGTGGGCTATAATTTACGACAGGATTTAAAACTTAAACGCGGACTTGCAAACTGCGATTTTGCTTATACGAGCTATCTTAACTATCTCTATTTAATTTTCTCAACGCGAGAATTTCAATTAGACTCGATACTCTCTTGTATTTTATCAGCCATGTTGAGATAGCCCTCTAAAATGGCTGGTTTGAAGTTAAATTTATCAAAGAAGTTAAACATTACTTAGAACAGCAAAAACTGAGCTTTAAAATTCTAATTCTCGATAACTTTCCATGACAACGTGCTGAATCACTTATAAAAACATTGCATCTAAATGTCAAGTTTCTATTCCTTCCACCGAACACTACTCCTTAGTTTAAACATTGTATCACAGAATGACAGAAACAATCTAACGTTATTATGTTTACATCTCTGCAAATAAAACACAAGATAAAGGAAAGCACGGCACACTAATGGCATGTTGGTGGCAATTCAAGGTTAGACACAACATAGATATGATTAAATTTTTAAACTTGCTTGGGCGCAATTGACTCTATTAACAGTGAATGCTTGCTGGCAGCAGCTCTGGGCGGAAGTTGACAACTACTTTAAAGGATTTCCATCGAATTGAAATTGAGGCCTAGGAAATCGCACAAACTGAAAAAGCAAAGCGAAACGATGAAGGATTTTCAGGTACAAAAGGAGGAGAAATCAAAGAATGAGTAGTGACTGGTGATGCTGAAACGACAAATGGAGAACTGGATTAACTTATAACAACAGCCAAATGTTATCTGAATTTATGATGGAGAGTGAACCAACTGAAGAAAAAAGAGGACATTTTATGAGCGGTACTGAAAAACTTCTCAATTCTTACCGCAAAAATTTAAATGAATTGCGTCAGATGATGTCCTAAGCAAAAATTACTCTCTATTTAAAAACAAAAGTATCTTATTATTAAGCAATAATAGAAATTCTTCCAATTAGCATTTATTTGACTAACGCCTTTCAATTACAACGATATTTAGGCTTGTTTAAATTATAATTACTTTAATAATATGAACTACAACTAACCGGTTTTTTCACAGAAAGTAAACTTTCCAAGATGCGAATTTCCCGTCTACTCAGCGTGTTTTGATGTAATACCCACATTCGGCAAGGACTTAACTGTTAATCTTTTGAAGCGTCGAAGAATTCCAGTTTCCTGCCTATACTTCATTTAATGTAGCCGCGTACTATATTACTCTTAATTACCTTTTTATTGAAATTTTTAAGACGTAAAATTAGAGCGCATTTTAAATTAAAAGCGACTGTTTCAGCCTCTTATTTTTGAATGAATTAGGTAGCTTATTATAATTACATTATTACTTGTTTAAGAAAGTAAAAATGTTTACTATTTTTAGCATCTCCTAATTTTTTAGTGTTAAACTCGGAGAATGGCTTCTTTACTTTTTTCCTAATTTTAAAATCATGCTGTATCTAAAATTAGAAGTAATTCTGTATTTAAGTTTTGCATAAAGTGTTGCGGCCTTGACATGTGGGAGCGGGGAGAGGAAATACTATCTTCGGTGTGTCACATCTGCACGTGCAGAACTGTAATTTAAATCGAAAAAAAATAGTTAATTTAGTGTTAAATATACATTTGAGGAATATTAAATTTGTTTTCAGTAATAAAATATTGGTATTCTATGGTACTTCTCTAAAAAGAATGGACTTTATATTCTGATAAGAGAATTTTCATGCCTATCAACGTTTTAGTGGAATTTTTTTAACTCCTACACTTTTTATAAGATTTCGATGGTGCATATTTTGAAGTTTGGGAGAATTACATTATTTGTAAGATATTTGTTATTCCTCAAAGGGCTATATTTTGAATTATCTAATATATAAGGACAATCCGAAAACTCATTCCTGCCACATATTTTTATAGATATGCTGCATATAGTTATGAGAATCTAATAGTTATTTTCTATTAGAGTAACATTTTAAAGGAAATTTTGATTTTCCTGGCTAATAACTACCTTAAGTTTGCAACAGTTAAAATTTAAGTTTTAAATAAGTTTTTTAAAACATGACCTGAGCTTACTTGCTATCTAGAGTTATGTCAAGGTATGTTATTTTTTTTTTACATTCATCTTCTTCCTAAACAGCACCCCGTAGTCTGAGCTTTCTTCGTTTCATCTTTTCTGAAAATTATTACAGTTTATTTGCAAATATTTATGGATCTTTTCCTGTTAGTAAACCAGTCTTCAGCAGTACATAAGTAATTCTACATTTGACTTTGAACATTATTTGTATTCGCAATTTCGATAAGGATAACTGTATAATTATTGAGCTAATTGAGTTTTGGAGCCACGACTGATATAAATTGTATAAACAAAGAGTAACTATGAAGAAAGTGCTTCATAAAACTATAGAGCTCGGGGCACATGATTCTATCAAGATGACCATGGAGGCATCTCAACATAAATTACTCTTCTGGGAGAGATAATGTTTTCCAGTTTTAACATCAGAATGTTTACCAGAAAACTAAGATGCAATTGAATTAATGCTAAAGAATAAAATTATGAATTTTTAGGTTATGGTTTTTTTTTTTTTTTTTTTTTTTTTTTTCAGGGAGATGGCGAAACTCTGTCTAATGTTTGGCAATGTTTAATTGAAATCGCTGGTACTGGAATTTTGAAATTTAAAATATCATATCCTTAAACAATAGTATTTATAGTTTTTACTAACTAGCAGACCATATAACTGCAATGCAAATGTTCAAATTGGGAGAGTCTCGATAGAGTTTGGAGTAGTGTAATCTATTTACTTTCGTAACAATTTGAAAATGTTATTAGCAGCAGAACTTCTATTAATCTCAACCCTCACGTTTTTGCCCGTATCACATTCGTGCTCAGACCATTTTACAGACTATTGCCACTAATTGTTATCGCGATGCATTAAAAAGGAAATTAAATAATGACGAATCTGTATAATCCTAACATTGTAGAAAAAAGACAGCACCAAGAGCCACCGAATTTTTAGTCATCTTGCACGCGAACATGGCCCCTCGAAGCCCGAATTTTGAATTTCGAAACTAGTTTTGATTTATTTCATATTTTGTACAAATTTAACTTCATTTTTTTAACAAACTCAGCTACTTAAAAGCGAAAAGTGTTCCCACTGTTCGAAATAATTTTTTTTATCTCCTGTGCGCCAGACTGTTGACATTCGACAAAGTGTAAGATATTTATCTTTAAATTTTAATACAAAATTCGGTTACTTGAAAGCAATGTGTTCTCACTTCTTCCAATAGGATACTTATTATCTCCCCGCACCAGCGTGCTGCTATTCAATAAAGATAATACAAACTTAAACTCTCGATTCCTGAGCAGCAAACCAAGTGATTGAAAAGCGAGAAATGGATTTCTTAGTTTTTTCCTATTTTTTAATCCATTTGATTTAAATAAAAGTAATTAAATCATGATATATAAGAAATATCAGTAATACTCTTTTAGTTAGCTGGCTGCTAGTTTCCAAATAAATAATAAAGGTGATATAAAAAATATTCCGCAACCCTTAACGCTCTTCCGGGATTTCTAAAGTTCTGCTGTTTTTGCATATTTTGCTCTTGAAATTTATGCGGTATAAGTGCGTAGAAAACGATACATAATAATAAAAGTTAAAAAGAAAAAAAAGTTAATAGGAGAGAACCAAAGAGCAAATTGGTAGTCTTCGATGCTCAGCGAGAACATAAAATACATTAACAAATCCTCTGGGGCGACGTTAAAATCTGAACCCCTTTAGATATTCTTTTTTTTACTTCCTTGTACGAAGTAAAAAGAAAGTGTTGTAATTGCGAAAAGCTTCAGTCAGCATATTTCAACGAAAATATCCATTTTGACCGCTTTCGAATGCAATTTAACGATGTTTTTGCGTGATATCTGTAAGTAAGGACAGAATAAAAGACTCTTTTCCTCCAAAAATATTATAAAACTGCTTTAAAATGAATTCTGAAGAGAAATTTTCGTGGCGTCTGTACGAACGTATGTACGTACGTACGTATCTCGCATAACTCAAAAACGAATAGTTCAGAACGTTGAAATTTTGTATATAGAACTGCTATAACATGTACATGTGCACCTCGTATTTTGGTTGCAATCGGCCGCACCAAACGTATGTAAATATATTTATAGATATATCCACTCTGTTACCCGGCTCAGTGATCTCAGTTTCTTTACTCTTATATGTTTGTAAATTGTACATTTTTTGCTTTAAAAATGATTATGTTGTTCTTATCTTCCGGTTAAGGTTTTTATGACTTTAGTAAATCTCTATGCAATATTTTTAGAGTTATCAACAATTTAAAATTTGTTTAAGTGCCGCAAAGCCTAATAATTTTTTTGATGGCGGCCGTTGCTTGCTTACATTTGAAACAACAAGATAGTGGATTTGTTGCTAATCTAGAGAAACTTAGCTTCGCAACAACAAAGATAACGCCTTTATTTATTATTGCGAATTAAATCATGCTTAATCCTTTCTGGAATTTTTTCGAGGAAATAAGTGTTTAAGATTTACTTTGTAATTTTAATACAGACATTTTGAGTTTTTATGTATTTTTGCCTTGTCGGGAATTGAGAACTGAATTAATCGAATGAGAAATACTCAATCGTCTGTGGAAAGCTGTTTCTTTTTTGTTTTGTTTGCTTAATCTCTTTTATACATCGTTCTAGCTTTATATAGTATTTGAACAGAACATATAGCAACGATTAGATAATTCTTTAAATGATATACATTTTGTGCATTCTGAGTTATAATATGAACGAAATATAATACTGTTAAGTGAACCTAGCGCCAGAGTGTCGCTAGGGTAAACAAATAGTGAGTTTTAAAGAATAAATTTATTTTATTGTGTTTTATGCGCTATCGGCGAAGCAGATTTAATTCAATCCAATAAAATGCAAGAAAAATGCATATTAATTTAATATTCCATACGAGGAAGTCATGTGGTGTACACATCAGATTTTTTATCTTAGTGTTTTAGATTATAATATACACGTTGTATAACTCCAACATTACAAACATAATAATTTAATTACAATTATAACGATTTAATCATTTAAATGCGATCAAATCATTATAATCGTTTCTGGTGTACACATCAGATTTTTTTTATATTGATTTTCTAATAACCGCATTTTTTCGAGCCAACGTTTACGAGCGTTGTCTTTCAAATGTAAAAGAAAGTTTCAGTTTAGCATATAAGTAATATTTTTCTATGCTTGATATATGAAGAACCAATAATATTGTACATAAATCCAATTACTCACCCGGCAACCGGTAGAAACATCAGCGTGGTAGGAAGTACTGTTGTCACTGGGGCAAATGAATGCATGAATGGCAGTCAGAGTTATCAGAAATATGGCAAAACACTTGGAGATCTTCATAATTGCAGCTGTAATAAAAAATAAAATAAAAAGTAAGCTCAAACCCCTAAAGATCTTAATAATTACATCTGTAAGTAAAAAACGCTTAATATTAATTTTGCTTCATGTCTTTCCTTTTTCAATCCATTTCATAAATAATATAAAATTCATAAATAAACGGAACTGTTTAATAACTTAATCCTTTGGCTAAGAGTTTAAAACTTTCAGAAAACGTTTTAAGATTTTGTTTCAGATTTCACCGTATGAGACATGTTAGATCTCCTTATTTTTTTCAAATATTTGAAATAATAATTATCATTATTATTATTTAAATATTTAATTTATTGTTATTATTTCAAATAGTAATTAATAGTATATTATCTTGACTGAATTACTTATTATTAGGAATGATGAAGAATGAAAGTTAATGAAATTTAAATTAACTGTTTATCCAGTTTGTATTCCTCTGCATACTATTAAGTTTGAAGTTTTTGACTCGGAAAATAATTATTTCGTTTTAAAACAAAAAAACAAAAAGTTAAGAAATAAATAAAATCATTTCATTGAAAGCTTATAAAAATGGTTCTCTTTTTATTAATTTTAATAATCACTTAAATTTAGTCAGAATTCGGAAAGCCATTAATGTGACATAATCATTTTTATGACGAATTATTATTAGAATGAAAACTAGCAGACGTGAAAGCTAGCTTTACAGGCTGAGTTTATAAAAATTCAAAAAATTCTGACATGTCTTGGATAAAAGAAGTAGATTTCTTTCATACAGTTAGGCGAGTTCATTTTACATCAGCACATTACCCTATTAATTACCGAGAAAGAATTTTGTTTTATAAAACTCATTATCTGCATTATTAACTAGAAGAATATTTTAAGATTTAACCGCAAAGTCAAATGAAGCGTTTATACATAACTTTAAAAAGTAATGATAAATAATTAAAACATATAAATAGTTCAGGAAATTTGCTTGATAAAATTTCATTATTTTTATTTGAATTTGTTTTCACAGAAAGGAGTTTGAAACGAAATATATAGCCATGTGTAACTGCATTAATGGAGGCTGAAAATTTTTAATTTGAATATTGAGCATTATGAATAAGTGAATAAGACTCCAAAATTATTTTCGAAAGTTACGAAGAATAAAGAAAAGGTAGTTCCATTCTAAACACATTAAATTATGTGTAAGGTTCAGGCCATTATAAGAAAAATATTGACATGTTAAAAGTATGCCTTTTGCTACCTTTCTTGATACATCACATTTTGTATTTAGATATTAAAACTCAGAAATGTTTTCGAAAATGTACGGTTTTAAAATTGATAATTACGGTAATTCTTAATTTAGAATAAGAATAAGGAACTAGGAAAAGCATTTTATTTTTATATTTCTTCTTAAATTTACTGAACGAATTCTAAAGAAGCATGGAATTCGATGTTACTCATAAAGTACATGTTTTACCGAATTCATAACAAACTTGAATAGATAAAGTGCCTGAGAGAATAATTAATAAAGAAAATGGTATTTTTTAAATTTTGTACTCAGTTATTCCATGTGACTTAAATATTTAGCTATACTAGGTTGCAAAACAACTATTCCATATGATGCGTTAACATCTAAGTAATTTGTTTCAAGCATCTTGAAACATTATCCTTAGGTTTTTTAAAATTAAAATGTCTTAACATTTTAATGCACAAGTGGATACAGATGATAAGCCTGCCAAAATTCTTAACTACGCTGAGTGATGGCAAATCAAAATTTTAAGACTATTCTACGAATTCTAAGACTATTCTATATTCAAAAGCATACATTTTTGTAATTGATGTTTCTTTGAAATCAAAAAAAGAAATGGGCGCCCAAAACTAAATAATAGGCACATAGTGAAAGGAATTCTTTAAATACCAATATAAACTCAGTATACTCATAAACTTAAGTACGATTGTAAGTATTGAAATTTAAATTTGAATTTAATATCAGAGATGAAGAAATAAGAAAAGTCAGACATCAGAATGAGAAAAACATAAGAGTATGTATAATATAAGATTAATGCGAAATATACGTAACATTTAGCATTCGAATCATTTCTTGATTAATACAAATGGAAATATAGAAGCAAATTTTTTAAAGAAAAATAACTCTTTTTTTCTGTTTCTTACAACCTGAGAATTAAAGCTCTGAATCAAATTCATTTTTAACTTGCTCATTATAAACTCTTTGAATTGCAAACTTTTAAGTATGGAAAACTCTTCGGGTAAAGAAAACTTGCATATTTTATTCAATGGCATTTTTTTAAAAATTTCTTTATAATTTTTTACTTCAAAATTACTGAAGAGGAAAATTCTACCTTTGCTTTTAATATGGATTATCATTTAGGAATTCTCTAAAGTAAGAAAACGTGCACGCAGGCTGTTGAGTTTATATTACGTGTAATAAATACAATCTCTTTTTCAGATTATGCAATATTTATTGCCCTTTATATTGTTATTAAATACTACATGAAATGTCATACTATTATTAAAAGTGAAACATTCTTTTTTCTTCATTTTTAAGAATTCAGTCTCTTGAATTCAGAAATGAAATGCAATTGCCAACATTTCAAAATGCTTCTTTAAAAAAGATATTTTAGGTTCCACTAATACAAAATCAGTATTTTTTTACTGCATAGATCCTGCAGAAATCGTAAAAAAGGAAAAAGACAAAAATTCGTTTCTGTAAAAATCATCAGTATTTACTGCTAAGATTTCCAGCGAATTAAATAACGTAGCGTAGTTCCCAGCATTTAAATAATTTAAAAAACTAAAAGGTGCACAGACCACATAAGTTCACTGAATTTATGCAGAGCATAAAAGAGAACTACACGTATAAACTTCCGTATAGTCCAAAATAAGTTAAGAGGGAATAAATTAAATGCGTCTTTTCACAATATTAAAGTGTCATTTCCTATTTAGGAAATATCGTCACCGGTGAAACGCAGCACTTCAGACTATGTATCGTTTAATGGTGCATTCTAAAATAAGATAAACTTATTTGATCTTAATAATTAAACTAAGATAAACTTATTTTAGCAAACATCATTAAAAACTGTAGCAAACAAGTATATAATGACTACTTGAATAAATAGTTTTTGCTTCTCTGGCAAATAACATTTCTATCATGTCTTTAAAGTTTGATTAAAGTGTGATCCTAACTATAGCGATTTGTAACACAAATACACAGAGCTACACAAAAATACCTGCAACTTTGATAATTATTTCCCAGGTTGTAGAAATTAGCCATGAAATATACAGAGAATTAAATATACGGGGGTGTGAGAACTGAACATTGCAGGCAAAAAAATAATCATTGTAGAAATGGAACAAAAAACATAAAAAAAAAACAGAGAATTATGTTGTTTGGTATTTATGTGACCAAAAGAATAGAAATTATTATATTCTTAAATCAAATGTGAAATTAAATATAGACTGCCTTTGAAAACATCCTTTCAGTATTTTCTGTGTTTGAATTATTTCCTTTTATTTGATTTTTTTTTTTTAAATTAACTCTTTACTTTTTTATTCTACAAATGTAAGATCTGATGATGACAGGGGATAAGACTTTCTGATGACAATTATGATTTTCTTTTTTAACATCTAGTTTTAAGTTAACTTCTATTCCACGTTCCTTGGCTAGTCCCATTACTCGCTCAGAGGTTTACGCAAATTGAATGACAACTTTGTGCTTTTGTAATTTTCAGTATGATTCTTGACGATTGTTTGCGGATGCCGTTTGGAAAACTGTGAAAAATTTACCAAAAGTTTTAGCGGAACCTGTGCTTGCAAATTCGAGTTGGGATGCTATTATAATCTCATTTTAGCGAAACGTCAAGCAGCATTTGTTGTTTAACGAGAAGCTCTCAATTTTAGTTTTGCGAGGTCCATAATTTATTGCTAATAAAATTTATGCTAAGTTTTACATTTCAATCTCATCTTGTGTTGACGGTTACGCAATACCAAAGGGCGATAACTCGCTAAGCTTTAATGCAAAATCTGTGGTTAGCAGTTAAGCGTTTAGGGCAAGTTTTAAGTAATTCACTACACAGAAGTTATAACTCATCTCCTTTTCTACTTAAACATCTAAAGCAAGAAGTAAAAAAAGTCATTCTAAGATAAATTTCCGATTTGATTCATTTTGGAATTACATAGATGAGACTGGATTGCTTATATGCCTACGAAATACCTTCGTGGAGTTAAAGGAAAGCTAGCTCGTTTTCATGTTGCACATCTCACCTGGGTTGAACCAAAATTTTAACTTCGTTTGAACTAGCTGAGAGATTTCATCTCTGGGCTGCTGTTGGGTTGTATAATTTTCAATCAAATCTGAATTAATTTAACGAAGAATACAATTCCTGGGTTTCTCGATGCAGAAAAACTAAACCTCAAGTTAACAATCTTAAGTGTAATAAATGTCTTAATTTGCGAAGCATAAGTTTATAGTTGCATAAGCAGAAAATTTGAATATTTGATGAAGTAAAATTAATGAACATATTATCTTACTATGTTCAGTTGAATTTTTAAGGAATTTAAACTTATACATTAATAAAAATGAATAAACTTAGTACATTTTAGAAATCGGATAGTAACAGAAAAACAGATAATCAAATAGTACAGCAGATAAAATCATGGAATACATCAAAATGGACGATTTTATCACTTAAAGTATTAACCCGCACGTAAAAAGTCATTGATGTTAAGAAGTAAGAAAATAGTTTTGAATCAATGAGTTAAATTTTAATACAGACGGTATGTTACTACGTATAAAAAATAGATTATTTTGTATATATTATAAAACTGTGATTATATGCTCTCTCTTAAAATTATAAGTTTTTAAAAATACAAAAACGCTTTTATGGAAAATATCCTGCGGAATAAATAACAAAGATATGATGGGTTAATAAAGGCCCAGAGTTAAGATCGCAGTTAAATCATAGGGGAATACAAATGAAAAGGGTTTTCAATCATTTCACATGGGAGGGGAGTGAATTTATTTCCGAATCATTTTAATTATTCAGAAACGTAATATACATATATAGCAAAAGAAATGTAAAAATAGCACTATGCAAAAGAAAAAAAAAATATATAACATGATTTTAGTTAGTTACCATTTTCGATTCTGTATATCTGAAATTTAAGTCTTATATTAAAATATTCCTTTAACTCCCTGGCTGGAAACCATAACAGTAATGAGAGCAATGAGTTCTTAAATCTTGCAAATTTGAAGAATATTGTATATATAAATATTGGGGAATATTTATGAGTCTTTTACAATCGTAAAATAGCTGCAACTAAAACTTATTCCATCTTTTTCTTGAAATACGCAAAGACAAAACACATTTCTCTATACAGTGTGAATAGTTCTCATATGGAAATATTTACATTACCGCTGGTTTGGCGACGGTTTTTTGGCGATAATGCTTGCCAGCTGGATAATGCTTGCCAACTGATAATGTATGAAACTCCTTTGGTATCAGGTTACCGCAGTGATCTACAATTAATTTACTGATGTTTAATTTGCTGCTTTAACATGGTGTATCATAAAATATTTACGAAAAAATCAGCGATCTTCCAAAACTCTTTCAAAAAATATTTATAGAAACTTTAGAATTCGTGCAGAGAAAAAATTTTTGCTTTTAATCTTCTTCATGTTCATTTGATGTTTTGTTCAGTCGATTAAGATTAGAAGACTGGCTAATATTAGTGTTATTAATGTGGCTCCCGATTCTAAAATGTTTCACTATAATTAATAATATAAATCATTTTGTGTCCAATATATGGGTTTAATTTTACAGTATTAATAAATTTTGTTTAAAAACTTTAAACCAGACTCATTTGCGACATAAACAAACTCATTTTCGGTTTTGCAGCTGAGGATGGTGGTTCGATAAAACCATCGAAACTAGTCCTGTGAAAATTTTGAAAATTAACGCTGATTTTTGTTGTTTGACTTCTGAATTAACTTTAAACCAGTTTAAAGTTAATAAAATAACACTTATTATTAAATTTGAATAAAAAATATAAAAAAGTTATTGATACTTAAAAATTAGATTTGAAATAAACTATTATAAATAGTCTGAATTCTAAATATATATACTTCCAAAAATACGTTCAACGTATGCCAATTACATACACAATTTCGTATACAGCATATCGTAAAAGTGTTCCTGAAAGAAATCTCTCTTATCTGACTGATGAAACTAAGCTTCAAACATCCGATTTCCTTCCTCTGTATTCCTAATTCTTAGCTTAAATTACATTAAATATTTTTTATTTAAATATTTTATCTTCAGAAATACTAAATTAAGTTCGAAAGTTTAAAAAAAAATATTTTTATCTTAAATTTCGCTTTTAATTTTTAGGCAAATCACAATGATTTCAAGACGGACCTCTAAATAAGTGTTATTTATTTATTTAGAATATGCTACACATTATAATATTAGAGCATAACCTACCAAAAGCGTGAATGACTCACAACAGTACATATTAAGTGTTCGTGTAGATACCAATTGAAATACATTAACCGTTTCAAATATATTAAACCATTAGCATAATGAAAATGGTTAGTTATGAAAATTTTACACCTTCCTTAAAAAATTACAGCGTGAACAAAGCTACATCGCAACTATTGGTCAAATATACTAAACCAATTAGCATTATGAAGATGGTTAGTGTGTCTGAAAATTTTACACCTTCCTTAAAAAATTACACCATGCCCAAAGATACATCGCAATTATTGGTTTAAGAGATGGCTGAATAAACAACCTTTATTACCCCGTGTTTACTAGAATAATAGTTGCTTTTATTTTTTTTATTTATTTATTTATTTATTTATTTATTTTTTTTTTTTGCTAATTTTTCATTGCGAAATTCTAAGTACTACTGTTACGCGGGGAAATCTGCTACACAATTTCGAACGCTTTCGATGATTTTTTCTGCTTCAAAACGGGGGTACGACTGTTAGGCGAATAAACATGGTACTTTATTTGATTTGGCTGTTAACTCCCATTGAACAGGATTTAAAGATGCTTGAAAATGCTATAAAAATTTCTGACCACGAAAACAATTAAACATTAAATAAATTAACTTTAGCTTTGTATTTAAAAATAGGAGATAAATTTTAATCGCCATATTTCATAAATGAAAGGTTTAAGTCAAGGAGCTGTTGTAGCCTTAATTTAACAGTATCTATTACAAGTTCAATCGAAAGCGATTTAACTTATTTGACCAAACATAATTTGTAGTTGTATCTGATACAAGAAAATCTGCCGCTGTCCTGCCGATCCTGGGAAGCCTAGCTGAGATTTCTACACCTGAAACTTTAACGAAAATTCAGAAATACCTAAATACTGTTATTAATATTAAAGCTACGACAAAATTGCATGTATAACTAATAATAGTTAGGTTAGGAATTTATGCAAGTACGGGAAGAATTAATTCTACGTAATTAATAACTATTTAAGCTCAAGAAATATCTAATTAAATTAAATAAATCAACCATCAGGTGAATTAAATTAAATAACACATTAGCTGTAATTCCAAAAAAAGTAATTTTTCATAGTTCTGTATGTTTTATCCAACACATAAAACTTAAAAATTTTAAAGCACTCTTTCAACTATATGAAAATTACAAAGAATAAATTTCGGCATGAAATAGGAAAGGTTGAATTACATACCAGATGTACCGAAATTTCTCAAAGTTAAGCACACTGGAACTCTTCTGGATGGTAAATAAGTGAATTTTTGCAAGAAGAATGGTATTTAAAGGAAAATGAAGCTTATCCGTTGCCAAGTGCTTACAAAAAGTACAAAGAGATGTTCCATTGTCTGCATTCACCTTCACGTATTTTGATTAAATAGTTCCTGTCAATGATCAGGTAAGCCCTTTCTTCTTTGGAAGTCCAAAATTGCAAAAATAGATAAGGCATTCCCAGGACATCACCTTAGATTGATCAAAGGAAAGGTCATACCCTCTGAATCACTATTACTACCCTTGCTTTGACCTTTTGGCCCCTGCCAGGTATTACTACCATTGTAATAAACTGTTTCTAAATTACCGAAAACGTTTTGAGAACCTACTGCGATTTCATTACTGCTGCATGCATAAAAAAATGCTTTATTCGTTCATAGCTTTATTAAATATATGTTTGAGAAAATATTTGCTTAATATTCTAAGATAATTTGAGTTTTAGAATTTTAGTAGATTTGTTCTGTTATCTAACATCAAAATAAAATTATGTTTTTAATAAGATGTATGTTATTCACTAGGCGATAAAATTTAGATACTTTAAGTTTCTTCCTTCTAACTTGTATAGGACTTATCCACAGGACAAGAAAAGGCGTGTCCATTTGCTTAATGTTTTAAATGTGAAACTGCGAAAAATAATTAATAAATAACTGTCAAAAATAATATATCTGTTGACGAAAAATTCTATTTGATTATGGAAGAGTAAAGAGTTCCGAACACAATGTGACTGAGTTTAAATGGTGAATACTGGCCATTTTACTTTAAAAATTCTCCATGAAGGTACACTCTCCTATAAAAAGTTAGGCCTTGAATGCTTTATAGCAATCAATGAAATATATATTTCTAGGTACCAAAAAGTAATCATTGATAAAAACGTTTAATTTGAAAAAAAATGTTCAAAGGCCTGCCAAAACCTAGGTAAATGGAAATTATCGCAGTTTCATTGCAAGAGAGATGGGATTGGTTTGGATTATTCAGTTATGGCAAAGCACACGAGGGCTATCTGCCTAAAGGGAGGGACGCCTTCGCGGAGGACTTTCTAAGCAAGAGAGATGGGACTTAAATAGCTTACGAAAAATACTACCAAAAATTTATTTTATTTTATTTTATATCTTTAATTTATATATTTATGCTTAAAAACGAACTCAGTCTTTAGAAATTTAATATTGAAACAATGAATTTTTGCTATTAGTCGATTTGGTCTTCTATAATAGATATCAATACTTTTATCTTTTTTTTTTTCAAATTTATTTTAACGGTTAAGTTATAATTATTCCTATTATTTACAGCATTCGGTTAGCCTTATTAGCAATGGATTGGTAAATCGGGTTAAATAAAAATTCCCTGTACAGTAAGCGTGATTTTTTCCCCACCGTTTAGCTGCGGGCACACTTGAGTAATAAAATACAAAGGCTGTAGCATTCCAAACGACACAATCCGCTCTTTCATTTTTCAAATTATAACAATTCTCTTCTTCTCAGAAAAAACTTAAACCATTTAGAATAATATTACATGCTTCTTTATAATGTTTTAAAGCTTTCTCTGATACTAATTTCAATTGACATCAAATGAAATCCCGCACTACGTACATTCGCTGAAGAATTTCTAAACTTTGTCTTCACCTAAATGTTGCATACATCATAATTGAAATCAATTTTTAATAATGAAACTATTCAACAGAGCCCATGATGTTCGAAGACGATGGCTGTAGACTTTATTTCTTTAAATGCTGATCCTAGAAATTAACTTTCAGTTACAAAAGGTCGAAAAATAAGGAGTTTTGTGAAAAGCTTTTATCCTCCAGGATGAAAAGTTTTTTTAAATGTAAAATATAACTTCCTATTTGAAGTCTTCAAAAATCGAGTTAATGCACTGTGCTTCAAAAAGATATTTACCATTTTGTACTTCAATATCTAAGATGCCGCCGAAACAGAATAGTGGTTAACGACGCTGGCTGCCGTGCCGAAGGGCCCGGGTTCGAATCCCAGAGAAGGCATGGATGTTTGTAAATGTGTAGTGTCGGTGCGGCATGGGGGCACTCTAAATATGCGGCGAGCCGAAAGTCCTCTCGATAGGTTGTTAGTGGAACAGGGTGAGAGAAACTCGAACAAGTCATCTCGGAGTGCTATCCATCAAAATTGCGGGCGGAACTGAGCAAAGTCGTATTGTCACTTGTATAGTGCTCAAGATTCTTGCCATCAGTATTGCACTTTGCCACGATGGCCTTGTTCTTATGTTACTGCTAGACAAATTAAATTAGTCACAACAATAGTATCTAAGATTTCTGAATAACTCTTATTGGGGAAATTTAGGGAAAAATTATGAAACAAAATGTTTTCATATGTTCCGATACTGTGTTGAACAAAACAGGAATCAATGTTAAATTTTAATCTTCTTAAAAACATCAATTACGCATAGCTTTGCGAATTTTGTGCTTAAAAGTAAAGAATAATTCTTTTTTAGCTTATCCAAAAAAAAATGGTTATTTTATTAACGGCTTTTCTTTCTTCACGTGAAACTTTATATTTACACCATCCTTTGTCATACAGTGTGGAAAATATTTAAAAAAAACTCTTTATTTTCATAAGAGTACAATATAAAGTGTTATCTAGGATTAATAGTTAAATAAGAAAAGGAAGAATATAAATTATCTTTATCTAACATCCTGGATATCTTGCAAGTAAGATATATATGTATTTACTTATTTAAATTTCATTTAAATATTAAAGAACTGAAATTCTTAGACTAAATCTAGAAAATACTAATAAACTAATTAGTTTACTTTTCCTTAAAAAGTAAAAGGAAAATGATGAACATAAATAACTTCTCGTTAATTTTTGGTTATGTATATGAGAAAAAGTATATTTCATAATTAAAACTTTATTTGAAATCTCAAAGGAAGACATGTGTTTCACAATGCAAGGTGGAATCCAAAATGCGTGATTGCAAGTTAATTAGCTCTGTATGTTATAAGATGTTTTAAATAATGTTCAGATTTCAAATGTAATTTTATTTTATGACTCTTTTAGTAACAATATTCCTATTTTCTGTAAATTATTTTACATCATTTTTATGCAAATTATGAAAGCAACATCCTATAATTATAAAAGAAAGTAAACATAGCTTCAGAAATTATTTTGTTTTAAATTTAAATAATAAAATACAAAATATAAATCATTTATATAATTATTGCAAAGAATTAGGATTCTGACCCACAATCTATAACCGCCAGTTATATTTTGTTACAAGTTATAGTTCGTATTTCTTCTCTTTTTTCTTCATATATCTTCTATTCCCGCATGACCCTTTTTTACTACTGGATGTTTTGTTACAAGCTATCGTTTACTTTCACTTTTCGCTATGTTTGTTTCTGACAGCATAAGCATAGAATCTGTTTCAAAGAACATCTTTCATGTGGAGTTTGTTTCATGAGAAGAAAGAAGTGCCCCTTCTAATAACATTACCTAGCGTAAATGAAGAAACCTGAAAGAAACCTACGCAGTTGTTAATATGTAAGAAAAATAGAAATTTAGAATATTGAAGCTATGCCTTATAAAGCTTTAGTAGCTTATAAGCTTTTAAAGCTTTATAAATAGCCTTATAAAGCTTGTTTTAGTCTTATAAAGATTAAAATTTAACATTGATTCCTGTTTTTATCAAGCATTACAGAGCTGTTACAGTGTTATTACAAAAATTGTTGTATTGTCGCTCATTATTTTGGCAGCTCAGAACATTTTGGGACAAGGTAAAGTATGCCGTAATACTTCTTAGCATGAATGGGCTGAAAGTGATGTGTTTTACATGATTTTTAAAGCAAAATAAAAGTTTATGGAAAACTGTAAACATATGCTGCTATAATTACCACTGAGTGTACGCTGAGTATTAAAAATTAGTTATTTCAATAATAATAGAAAGGTTTATATCTACTGTATCCCTCCTTACATAAGTTATGTTTTCGGAAAGAACAAGAAAATTTATATCACTTCTTTTGAATGGAAATATGCCATCTTACATGTATCATTTTTAATTTCTTTACCAAACAAAGAAAAATTTTGTTTACTTTCTATGAAAACATTTCCATTTTGTTTAAACTCTTACTTAGTAAAATGCGAAACATCTGCGATTCTATCTAAGTAATATAGGAATAAATAAGACTTATTTTGACAAAGTTAAAAATATTAATTTTGTCAGGCGTTAATAAACGCAAATTAATTGTTAGTAATAACTATACATTAATTTAAACGAGAACATGCATTTAGAATATTTCGCCAGGCTAGAAATTTGCTGCAGTTAATAATATACATATCGCATTTTAAAACATAGCGTAACTGAATACTTTCTGAATATTTCTTCTTAGACTTAAGATTCTAGTTTAAATTTAATATAATTTAAAATAGGCTTATGAAATTTTGGTGGGGGGACTAAAGTACAGCCAAGAAATGATTTTATAGCCATATTAATCCGAGTAAATAAATAAACAAATAACATATTGTTGTTCAGATTAAAATTCTTTGATTGAGATTTAGGCGTGAGTATACTGATTCTCCTGACAGCCAGCTATGGAAAATAAGTTTTGGAAATCAAATTCCTGAAATATTTCTTTTTGTGTCACAAAACTCATTTATTTTGGAGAACCTTTTAAACCATCGGTAAGTACAAAGTTAAAGTTAGAAATTGTTGTTGTTTTTTCGTCTTTAGGACAGAAGTTGTTTAAACAACAGGTTTAACATATTTTTTTCATATAACAGGCAAAGGCTTTTTTTTTTTTTTTTTTTTTTTTTTTTCTGTTAAGAGATTTTTAGCAGGCTGAGGAGAAATTAATCACTGAAATTTTAACTCAACCAAATGCCTTGGATTTTAAAATACCTTATTAATAAAGAAGTAAACCAAGGAAGCACACAAACTTTGAAATTCTCAAAGCAGACGCTACAGAAACAAACTTTCACGTCAGAACTTAAAAT